TTAATTTCTTGAAAGTATTGCACATATTGAGGAAGAATATTGACTTCTATGGTTTTAAAGAATCATCTTGATAGTTAATTCTAAAGTCATTGCGTTCACCTGTAGTATCTGTGCTGTTAAAAAGTACTAATTCACTGCTTTGGGACAGGAGAAGGGAGAGTGAACAAGACTAATTCCTGGTCACTAAAGCTAGCTTGTGTTAGAGGTGTGTTGCAGCTACAGTGATAAGCAGGTGAACTCTGAGTCATGAGCTGTTGTCACAGGGAAGTGTATATGACCTGCCAAAAGAGAGTACTCTGCTTTCTGCAAAATTAGCCCTTGCCAAAGAGACCAAGGCATGGTCTAAGACTTGGTCCTGTAACTCACACTGTCTCTGAAAATGTGCCAGTACTTTGTGCAAGATTTGCATCTTGCTTGTATTGTGTTAGATAGAGTTTTTTAATTCTTGGGTTTGGTTGAATAAAGAACAATTTCTGGTTAATACAGATAAGGTTATATTCTCAGAATATTGGAAAAACTTGCTGCTATAAAGTGATTAAATTTGTGAATACCATCATTAAGTTACAAATTTTTTTGCCATTAGTTAGTGCATATTTTCCTTCTGTATTATTTCAGGGCAAGTTTGCATTCTAGCAAGTAACAAGATAATGCTTTGAGACTTGTTATAGTTTTAGCCTGCTGTTTTGGCCCTTTGTTACTGGGTGAACTGCAGAATGTAAGTGGATTATCATAGGGGATCTTTGAAGGAGTTACTTCACTGCTTTGAAATGGAAAAGTATGTACCAGGAGTTCACCTTATCTTATCCCTCCTGCTCTGAAATACTTGGGGCTTTCTCCAAACTTTGCTCTAGGAGACCTGAGATGCTAAGCCAGGGTGCCCAGGACTTTATCCATTTGGGTCTTCATGCCCTACATGGGCAGAGACTAGGCAAGCTTGCTTGACTGTTCTGAGTGAAAAAACTTTTCTCCATGCCCTGTCTCATCTGACATGAGTTGTCCCTTGTCCCCCTGCAGTGTAGCACTGTGGAGAGCCTGGCTGTCATCTTGGTACATTCCCCATTGTACTGGGAGGCTGCTGTTAGGCAACCCCAAAGCCTTCCCATCTCCAAAGTGATCAAATCCAGCTTCCCCAGACTCTCCCCACAGGTAAAATGCTCGAGTCTTTGACATATTGGTGGCCCCTGCTGAGCTACCTAGTTAGACAATGTCTCTCCTGTATCACCTGTGAATCCATTTGCTTAAGGAGCCAGCTGGAATGCAGGTTAAACAAAATTACATCAGGATTATTTCATAGATGGCTCTGGACACTCTACAGCACGTCATCATTCCTATGCCATTTAAAATGTCCTGATTCACAATGGAAATTGTTTCATGCTTCATAACAATAAAGTAGTTATTTTTAAACACCACCACCACAGTTTATACACTATGTTTGTGTCTGTTCTACATTACAGCCATGTTGCATAGACCCTGCAAGAACACCATGAAATGGTGCAGATTGTTGGGGTGTCTAGATTTTTCTCTGTCAGTCAACTTTCAGGGTTTCTGTGAAAAATTTCATCCTGGATTTTGTTCTGTAACTTCATGAAACTTGAAACAACCAGGATGGCACAATGTAATCTTCCTGCAAAAATATAATTTCAGAAAAACAATAGGACAGAGCAGGGCAAAAAACTTTTACTTTTAGCTTTCCAGAATGATTGCTTATAGGAAGCAGATATCTTAGGAATACCTTTCTCTGGTAGTTTCAGTTTTAAATTACACCTGTTAAAAAATGCATTAGTGTTGTTGGTTTTTTTTAGTATTTCTAGGAATTGTTATTTATATTTTTTTATTCTTTTTACATTACTCCTTATTCCTCAGGTTCTCTCAAAAAAATGCAAGATCAGAGTCTTGTGAAAGTCCCTGTTGTTTACAGTGCTATTTAAAAAGGGTAAATGATTTAGGAAGCTTATTTTGCATTTACAGCCATGTGGTAGATATGTGTGATTTGTGATGGTTAGTCACATACATAGAATACATAGAATTATTTTACCTCCTTTATCAAAAATAAAGGCTTGCTTCTCATTTTTCAAACAGCTTGATGTGTCCAAATCTGTATTGTATGTGTATTGATTCCAGAACCTGGCTTCATCTTTTTCTTCCCCAAAACACAGTTAATCAAAATATATTTCATAGTTGCTCCTGACAAATACAAGCTTTACAGAAAGAAACTTAAGTCTTTCTTCCAAATAGGTGAGAGATGCAGCAATATGTGTCATCAGCATTTCCTCAGAATTCTCTTGGTTTGATTATCTCCTAGACCTTCCTTAAATGATTTTGTAATCATGAAGGTATTTAAAGAGAAGAAACATCTAAAGAATTGGAAGCCTTGAAAAATGTAATCTCGTCTTTGTAGGAAGATAAAGTCTTTATCCATTCAGGCTTCAGTCACAACAGTTCACACATACTATATTGTATCAGCCCAGAAAGTAAAAATTGCATTTTCTAGATGGTGGAGAGATGATTTCCAGCAGAAGCATTCAGGTTGTTCCATGGCTGTTTCTGTTGAGGGTATATTCTGATTATTTGATAAATGGAGTATGTGGATTGGTCAAACCTGAAATTCTGATAGTATTGCTTTTCTGCAGGTGTCTGACAGCTGTGTAAGTAATAATGTACATTTTGTCAAATACTTGAGTTGTTTTACCTTGTGAATCATTTTAGTATTTAAATTCTTAATTCTGTGTTAGTAACAATCTTTTAAAGAGTTTTTATATATCACAAGACTGAAATTTAGTCTTTGGGCTTACATCACACTTACATGCATCTCCTCTTTCTTGTGAGAAGAGGGGCTTTGTAGTTGTATAGCAGTGGAACTTAGGCCAGGTGCATCCACAAAGCAAATGTAGAATGACATTGTAGTATGAAAATATACTTTCACTGAAGATGTTTTACTTTTCTTTCTAATAATACTGTCTCCAAATATTTTGCTTATCTCTTCTGATATCCCCACAGTATAGAGAGAAGGAACATTAGGAGTGCTTATACTTGGGTCTTAGTGATATTCATATTACCTTTCACAGAAAAAAATTAGGCAATATTCAAATTTGGTTTTGCAGCAATTTCAGTAATAGAAGAATAACAAAATTTGCTTAAACATGACTTCAGTACTAGAAAAGGTAAGACTGAAAGTGTTATTTCTGATACAGTAAAGAAATTTGACATGGTAAATGAATGTGCTGTCCGATAAAAGGAAGCAATTTATAGCAGCAGTTTGCTACTGAAGTCTAAATTAGATATGGATGTGTGGAATTCATATTTTCCTTCTGGTGCTTATGTGATAATACCAGAATTTAATTTCATTTAAAGGAACATATAAAATTCTGTAATCAATGAAAGGATGATACACAAAGAAGAAAGTCTCTGCAGAGTAGTGATATATTCAAAGAAAGGTGTTAGTGGATGGTAACTGGTTTCTATCTTCAAAAATTGCTACAACTGTACAAATCAAAAGTATATCATGAATGCAAAAATTTAAGTTTTAACATTCTATTTTTATAAAAAGAAAACAAATGTTTTGTAAATGCTATTAAGCAACTTCTAATCCAGAGACTCTAGATATGATTTATGGATAAATTAAAAATTTGGGGAGCATTGCCTGAATTTTAAAGCTTTTCTCATGAGAGCAAAAAACAAATCCAGTGCATTTGAGAAAATTTCCTCAGGTCTAAGTGTAGTAATGCTGTAGCAAGGTCTTCCTGTACAGTTAGCATAAGGAGTTGAATGTCGACAGGGTGCTAACTATGATTTTTTCCTTTGTCTGCTTCTCAGAAGCTGACAACATTATGGTTTGTGGCCATCTAGTGGTGAATCCAGTTTGAAGGCACTAACCTTGTTCAGAATTGTAATAAACTAGTCCTCTAGCTTTGCTGTACAAAACTGAATTACAGCACACTTTTGGAGAAAAAAGATTTCTCTACACCTTTTCCTATTCTGCACTAGTAGTGTTTGTTACAGGAGGATAACATCTTGAAGATGACAGAAAAAATTTTGATGTTGACTGGTAATTTTTGGCAACCAGCTTGAATGTGTGTGGGAGGTTCATTTTATTCTGTAATTTTTTAATATCTAAGTCCCTAGTAGTAAAGTAGTGAATTTATTTCTTACACAGAAATTTGAAAATTTTATAAATTACATGTTTCCAAGGTACAGATATTTTCTAAAATGTATTTGATTATACATCAATTCTGAAAGCAATTCATATTCCCTGTTTCTATGACTCATGAGAAATTTGGGAAACAGTATGGTGGTTCTCCTGCTAAAGTTCTCCTTAATAATTGCCTTAGTAATAATGTTTTTCTAGTATTTTTTTTCTGGGCAATGTTTTTAAAATGTCATGGGAAAATTATCCTGGCTTAAGCACAGAGATTAATATAAGCATCATTAGGAAATGGAGTAATAAAAGAACTATTCCAAGTCACATCTTGGATGACATGAGTCCACATGATTCATGAGACCTGGTGGACTTTTAACATCTGCCAAATCTCCAACAGTTGAAAAACTGAAATTTTGTTTGTATTAGAGAAATAAGTCAATATGCATATTAATAGCAAATGCAAGAATTTATATTTCATTTCTCATTAGATAATAGCAAAAATCTGAAAATTTGGTCATTCTAGTTATTGGGTTTTTTCCTTAATTGGTAAAATGGGTTCTGCAATGATTTCACTTTTATCTTTTGTTCCTTTCATCAAAGTGTCATTTTTTCATATCTGACCATTCCAACTAGCAGTTCTTTGAATTTTTACAATGTTGACATAGACTTCCACATTTTTTAATAATTGTTGTAGCTTCTTTTTCTATTTAATTTGTAGATTGCACTAAGGTGACAGATAAGCATAATACAATAAAACCTATTTATACTCACTATCCAGCATGCCACCATCCATCCATTAACATTGAACATTGTATCAGGATGGTATTGGGTTAATGAATGTAATGGTTTGTTTCATTTTCAGGTATTTGGAGTGGATGGCAGCCAGGATTATAATAGGCCTGTTATCAACGAGAACCAGAAAGATTTAGTAAAAGATTGGGCTATAAATTCTGCTACAGTAGTGCTGGAAGAAAAAAGACCACTGAGTACAACTGGATTTCTTGACACAGAGGTAGAATTTAATTTTTGACGGTCTTCTTTTTTCTTCCACTAAAAGAGAGCACTAAGAACTGACCAGTAAGTGTTAAACAGGAAACAAAATCTTGCCTGGAAAAGATGAACTCAGATCTATAAGTAATCTATTTCTCCTATGCCTTTATTGCATCATCAAAGTTTCTCTGTCAGAGGCAGGCATAATTCAATGTGGAGGTGTTTTTAAACTTGGCTACATTTCTACATGCAGTGACATGAGTGTATTGGAAATGTAGCAGAAGTTTCTTTCCATAACATAATTTTGCACAGTATATACTTCATGTAAGTTCTTCAGCAGAACTGAGGAAAAGCTGGTTATGTTTTATAGCCCAAAGCAAGTAACGATATTAAAATTCAGAAATAAGATGTGTGCACTTAAAGCATGATACAAAGTCATCTAGGAAAAAAAATGGTGGATAATACTTTTCAGATTTTTTCTCTGAAGCCAGAGAACTTTAGTTTTTTAGATTCATGATTTAAGTTCTCCAATGAGGTGCCACTCATGACAAGTCACTTACATGATTCAGACACAGTATAACTTAATCAGTTGGTGAAAGATTAAACAGAGGAAAATGCCTGTATGTATACGTGACTTTAAATATGCACACATTATATTGATCATTTTTCTTATTGAAATCTTGGGAGGCATTCTGCTATCATTGTGATGGATAAACTAGCTTGAAATGTGTCTGGAACAGAACAGGATCACAGTGGAGTGGAATCAACTGGCAACTGTAAAGAAGCACATAACACTTATGTCTAATTTCTTGGGAAACTGTTTCTGAAGTATGATCCTGTAATTTAGCAAACTTGACAGATAAGCAATTATTTTGGAAGATATTAAGAGCTTTAAGTGTTCCTGCCATGCAAATACATTGATTTTAGTATCTGTTTCTTTTAGAGGTGTGTTTTCTCGTGGTTGTATTTCAGCTACTGTGAAGCTACAGTCACTGTGCCTAGACTAGTACCTTTACCTAGTTTCTCTAAGGCACTTCAAGTGAAGTATTGCCACACAGCATAGGCATATCCTGTGGAAGGTTTTTCACCTTGCTTCTTTGCACAAATCTATAACCATATGCTTTCTCTCTCCTTTTTTCATGCCTTTTACAGCACTCAGATCTTTTGTGCCTTGTCAGTTTTAAAGAGTATTGATATTTTTTCACTATTATAATTAAATAAGCAGAAGAAGAATGTATGATTTGTTTTATTAACATAATTCATCTTTTCAGGTATCAACTTTGCAAATAAAAGGGTTTTTTTTAGAAGACTGAGACTACTTCTGCAATCATACAGCAGATTTAAGAAACCTTCTGGCAGTCATATACTAAAACTCACTTTGATTTAGGTGGAAATTACAAGAATTATGCTGCTTTTTTACTGTGACTGCTTTGCTGCATTAAAAGGTCTTTATATAGTGGGAGAGAATAGGTTATTAGCATAATTTTAAATATTACAAGGCATGGTGATAGGGTAAAGAAATGAAAATTATTCGGTAAGTCAAGGAGCAAACTGACATAAGCAATGTGGATAGAGCAAAGATTAGTGAAGAGTTGAGGACAGATGAAAATGGAAGAAAGCTTACTAGAGAAAGTTAAAAGTAGATGTTGGTTGATAGATATGTGGAAGTACAAGAGAAGCTAGTTCAGAAAATTAGAGGTGTCTTATAGGGAAATAATGGGAAAACAATAATGAGGAAAACTCCTGAGAGAAGATTGTTACATTTAAAGTGTTATTAGCAAAACTTGCACTCCGTTTAGTCAGTAGGAAGGGGAGAGGCAAATGTGTTTGATTTGTAAAGTATGTGGGTTATGTTCTCATATACAAACTTTTCTGCTTGTAGGTTTTGGAAGACTTACAGCATTACTGAGCTGCAGATCATAAGTTTATAAACCTTATTGAAGATCTTGGCTAAATAGTCAGGTAACATCAGGGTAGCTCAGTGTTCCAGTTTTGCATCCACTCAGATTGTGGGTGGAACTTACTCCAGCTGTCCATCACAGTTATTCCTGTACATGATTAGCAGAATGAGGTGAATTCAGAACATGATTGGCATAGAAAAAGCAAAGATAAAAATCTAAGATATTTCTATTTAAAAAAAATGGAAAAAGTGGCCTGGGAAATTGTGAGGATTTCATAGAAATAGTTTACAGAATCACAGAATAGTTAGGGTTGGAGGACACTCTGGAGACCATGCAGTCCAACCCTGCTGCAAGGCAGGACAGGGTTGTCTAGAGTCACTTCAGGGGGTGAAAGCTTATTCTGAACTTAAATATCTTAGCTTTACAGGGGTTTTGAAGTATCATTAATAAAATGCTTGGAAATGCTTTACTTGTTCAAGAAGTTTTCAACTTTTTCTTTGATAGAACAGTCTTTAAATACTTTGGAGTAGTGTATGTCAAAAATAAAGTAAAATGCAGAGTGAGTGTCTTGACACAGTTGAACTGAGCCTGAATACACTGGTTCTTGCCTTTTCAGTGATTACATATAGGCAATGAAAACACTAAATCCATCTATTTAAAATATTTAAATGTTTTTATTTTCTACATTATAAGCTGCCACTTGCCAACCAAGATAAGTGTGATTAAAGAAAAAAAATGAAGTAAATGGAGAACAAAGAGAATATTATTATTGTTGTTGTTCTTGTTATTTGTTCTTACCCGTGAGTTTGGTTAATAAAAATACTGCAGGCATTTGGGCTATGACCTATCCCTCCAACTTCCATTTAATTTTCAGTGGTCAGTTGTCTGTGCTAAACATGGTTCTTGAATAATGGTTTATCAGCATTGTGTTTGATGTGCTTCAGTTTTTTGGTTGATTTGGGGTTTGTTTGGGGATTTGGTTTTTTGGGTTTTTTTGTAAGACAAAAGCTTAGAAACCTGGTTCTTCATCTGTAGAGTCATCAATGCCATTGACTACATGTTCTGTTGCTGTTTTAAATGCCTATTTTGTCTTTCCCACTGAAGATCAGATAAATAATACTACTGACATTCTGAATATTGAATTTCATTCATGTAAATATTTGCTATATTGCTTCTTAGAAGTGGAGAATTTAGAGGCTGTATTTCTTTTTGTTTGTCCTCTCAAATTACTCCAACTTTCTGTCTTGTAGAACAATCCATTTAGTTTGAAGTTTGATACTTACTTTTTTTTGAACTTAGATGCTATACTGAAATGTAGGCTGATGTTTCACCAATATCACAGGGCTGTGAAAAGGCAAACAGGACCCTTGAATACCCAGGAAATGCTTTACCAGCAGCAAAGGGCAGTGTTATCACCATGGTGAAGCTTCCCCTGTAATAATAGCACTAGAACTGTTAACAGTCTTGGTTGAGAAGGGTGGATACAAGTCTAGAGAAGGTACAAAGTCTACTCAGATTGTAACAGGAATGGAGATTTGCCTTACAAGAACAGATCAGTGCTGTTCAATTAGTCTGGCAAAGTAACAGCTGAGATGGATGCAATTGCTGGGTTTTCATGTATAAATGGAGTAACTGTAATAGAAGAGAAAAAGAACTGTTAAAGATAGGTGTCAGTGTTGTTCCAGGAATAACTTGAAGACATTGCCTGTAAATAAGTCAGGTATGGAAATGTGTAAAAAGATCATCACCCTAGAAGCATATGGTTCTGAAGCAGGTATAGTGAGAACTGCTTTCAAGGCAGCAATTTATGAAAAGATGAAATAATATGATTCTTACAACTTGAACTGTCTTATGTGTCTGAAAAGACATCTAATTTTTTAATTAATTTTATTCACATTATTGAAATTTATTAAATAAAAAAAAGTTAATCTACTCTGAAATACCAAGAGCTGGACATGCTTTTAGGTATAATGTGTGTGTGCTGTGGATTTTTTTCAGATGTGGAGCCTGAAGCCCTAAATCATCAGGCTGAACAATAAGCCCACAGAAATCCATTGTTACATTTTTGAAAGATTTCTTACTCCTATTGAAAGATTTCTTACTCACTTTGTATGTGAGTAAGAAATGTGAGATAAGCATAAGAGAAAGCAGATTTAACACAAAGGTAAAAGGCTGGTATCTCACAGATAAACCCAGTTTTTCTGAAATACTAGGAAATTGCTTTTGGTATTCAAGAGAAAATTTGGAGGATTGTGTACTTGAGAGCCTGTAAGATGCCAGTTGATATGGGTTATAGGAAGAATATTCGGATATCTGAACGTGACTTTTTAGATATGTGTTTTATAAACCTTACACCTTCTGGATGTGCTTAAACTAGTATGAAAAGAAACAGTGTATTTTTGATATTATTTATGCTTCTATACACAGAGACCTGGCAAAGCACACATTTACATTCACTGCTATGTAGAAACCGTTTTTTGGCAGTGCCATTACAAGAGAAGATAATTTATCATGTTTTTTCACGGCAGTTAATCTGCAAAATCTTAGTATGTTTCTCCATTTTGAAGTAGTAGAATTCAGATTCTGACACACACCTGTGTCTCAGAAATTGGTCAGGTGGTACAGAAGGAACTAGTTGAAATTTTCTGTTGCAAAGATGATTGGGACATCTATCATGTTTGGATTTGGCTATAATTAGTTGTTTTATTAAATAGAAGTTCACTAGTACAGATAGGAAAAGAGAGATTAGTGATAGGAAAGAAAAATGAGGCTTTGGTAGTTGCATTAATGCAGTGTGTTTTTTGTAATATTCTTACTGGCACCTCACATTGTCTTCAGAAATGCCCATAAATAACAAAAACACTGAATTGCCTTCCTTTGCTATTGTTATACTTGAATTTTATAGCATTTTGATTTTAAAAAATTAATTCAAAATATGGAAACTTGTATAATCGTTCAAAAAAATTACCTGCTGCATCTCTGATACACTACATTCATGGTATTCTGGAAGAGATTCATGATGTTGCACTCGCTTGCACTAACAGGAGAAATTCAAGATTGTCAATTCAAGCTTTTCAAATGTCTGAGTAACTTTTAATTTGAAAGAAGTTGTCATATAGTAGGTGACATTTTTCACCATTCTAGTTCTGCTCCATAAATTTTATAGAATGGATAGTGTTGTTTCCTGGTCAAAGACTAGAATCCAAGACTTGTCAAGACATTGGGCAGAAATCAGTGTTTTGAGTAGAAGTGCAAAGATTTGAAGGGCTGGTGATGTTTTTTGGAGATGTAAGGAAGAGAGACTGCTAAGATATTTGATAGGACAGTAACATTGTACTATAATTAGAAATCAGATTTTGAAAAAAGGATGCTTTAGTAACACAAGTAGATGATTTAATTCTATGCTTTTCTTACATTTTAAAAATTTTCAAGATTTCAAAAGGCATACCATCAAGAAAAAAATTAATTTCCTTTCTGGTTTAGGTGCAAAAACATTGTATAATACTGATGACATTGACTTCATTGTTATGCAGTAGGATGGTTTAGAACTAATCTTTGCTTCTTTTTTTGTTTAGGCCAAACAAATAATCTGAGCTTCCTTTCCTTTCCATCATAAGTTATTACTCTTTCAGTCCTTAAGGTAGTCTTTCTGTAATGAAGTAAATACAATATTCCATCTGGACAAGAGGGTCTTCTAAACCGGTAAAATGTCACTTTCTTGTCTTCCTGAAGCACATTTTTAATTTTTTAACACACCCCCACATCCCATGTACTTTTTCTGCACTTCTGAGCGGAGGATTGAAATAACCTGATCTTAGAACTAGCACATGTTCTGATACATTTTATAGAGGTTCTGGTGTTTAAATATACTGATTCAGCAGCTATGTAGATTTTGTTTATTGTTTGCCATTCTAAAATTTATTGAGGTAAACTATTTTTTTCAACCTTCTCCAGGAAAATAGTGTCTGACCTGTCTATTCAGGAAAAGCCTGGAAAGATGACATGCTTTTTTATCAAACAGTTATAATTTTTCTTCTGCTGTTTTTTTCCTTCTTAGGAAGGCTCTGCTAACCCTGGAAGTAAACGTTGGGTGTCACAGTGGGCCAGTTTGGCTGCTAATCACACACGTCATGACCAAGATGACTTGAGATTGGAGTCCTCTGTGCCTGCTCCATTAGAAAATGGTATTAAAAACTGTTCTTATTGTCATAATTTATGCTGAAAATCCTGTGAAAGGGAGAAAAGAATGATTGAGTACTGTACTTAATCACTTTTTTACTCCTAATGGCTCAATTTCACGTGAGATTCTTCTGTGTCATTGAGTAGAAGCAGCATAAAAACAAGCTCAGCAGTAGTGGTGTCTGCATGGTAGTTGAGTGCCAGTATTACACTGAATGGTACTAAAACAGGAGAGTTTATAAACTGTTTTTATTAGAGAATAATATTAGAGAATATTAGAGAAACTTTAATTTAAATACAGTTTGGGTTGGTCCGCATAGTATGTTTCTTTCCTTGCATCTTTCTTAGTCTAAATTGGACTTCATGGTAATGATTTTTAAACAATCCAACCTGAGACACTTCATCTGAAGCATAGCATCCTTTCCTTATCTTGGAAATACAGAAGACCTTTGATATTTCTTGAAAAACCCAGAAACTTTCTCTTTAGCAATGAGCAACCTTATCTCCCTTTCTTGTGAGTGCCAGATGTTCAGGGCATGTCTCTCCATAGTTTAATTATTCACATTTGTGATTTTGAAATGGTTTATTCTTTAATATCTACAATCTTGACTCCAAACTTCTCTTCTGCTTTTTTCTTCCTGCAAATTTCACTTTTGAGGTTGTGATCATCTTTGGGAGAAGTTGCACAAAGAAGTTTTGCTTTGGTGTTGCATAATGCATATATCTGTACCAATGCCTGAAAAAATTCTTATCAGTGATTGCTGCTCTGTTGTAGCTTTTCCTCCACTCATAAGCATTGAACTTGGCCTAGGATACTAAAAATCAAAGGAGATGGAAAGGGGTAAAATTAAATTATCTGATACACACAGAATAATGGAAATCGAGAGCAAATTTTGCACTATTTGAAAGGATTGGGTGTGTACATACAGACACTTAAAATCATTGCTATTGAGACTGATTCTTTGGGTGGTTAATTGGGAGCTTTGGTAGTCTTTTGTGTTCTGTAGTTTTAAATGGTCACTTTCAGATGAGGCACTACTAGGATCTTTCTTCTTTGGAGAGGTAAAGACTTTTTTTACCATTATGAGAACTAAGGTAAGAGTTAAAGGGAAGTAGCATACCTGCTCTGCAAGAACTCTAAAATACTAAAGGGGAGATAAAGCATTCAAAGGACCAAAGGTGTAATAAGAATAAAATTTAGTACGTACATCTAAAAACCAATTCAGAAAGGATGTCTTGTTGACTTAGATGCCTGTATTTTCTTTAAAAATCTTTGTATTTAAACTTCACATAACACATACTTACAACATGTAGTTGCTAAACAACTCCATGCCTTTTTTTTTCTAAAGGCAGTTTGAAATTCGCCAGGAAGCAAGTCACATGCATATATATGTACTAAATATTTGATCTAGTAGTCGTGTCTGAGAGAAGTCAGTCTTCACAGATGGCAATCATAAAGATTTTCATTAAACCTTCAATTTGTTTCATAATTTTCAAGAAAAAAAACCAGTCCTGGAATTAGAAAATCTTGCTTAGATTTCAGAGGTACTTACTGTTTCTCAAATTAGTATCTTAACATAGATTATAGAAAAAAAAAACAACTGTGAGTCATTTTGCATTCTTCATCAAAGGTGTGACACTGCAAAGAGAAAAGATAGATTGAAGAGCATGGATAGAAAGTAGCAGGTATACATACACCATGATGGTTGATATTCAATTAATTGCTTAGAGGATTCTTGCAGAGAGAGAAACCCTATACTCCAGTTCTTACTCCTGGAGCAACCAATGTTGGTGGCAAGCTGTGATAGGAAAGTCTCAACAGGGTGTGCAGAGCAGTTGCTTATAGATCTCTCCTGGCAAGAAAGGGATTTGACAGATGTGTGTTACTAAATGTGTCACATTATATTGCAACAGCAGACAAATGAACTGCAAAAAGAATTTCTTCTATTCAAATATTCAAAGTCAGGGCAATTTATAGAGCAATTTAAATCACTTTTGAGTAATAAAGGCTTGTTTCTGACAGCACAACTGCTGTGTTTGTTAAATGGGCAAAGAGGGCGCAGTCATCATCACTGTGGAAAAATAAATCTTGGTTTCTGAAACACTTATTCCTTGCAACAGTCCATGGGATGCCTATGCCTTTCTGATGATGGAGCATTCATTCTGTGTACACTGAGAATGCAGTGAAAGTGCTTTAGCACTAATACTGCATTCTTTTGATGCTTTGTATACAAAGCATTGTTGATGCATTTCCATGCATTTTTATACTACAGTGTCTTGTTTGGGATAAAAACATTATTTTTGCTTTTTCAGCCATAGTAATTTCTTTGTTCATGAGTGGGGCTTTTCAATATTGCTGAGAAGTGTCTCCCAGCACTGCAGATTCTTGCCTGAATGAGGCAAGGCCTCACAGGGAGAGGCTGTAGTCTGTCCATGAGACAGACCTCAAGCTGTGGAACAGGCAGGTAGGGAGGAAGAAGGAGGATCTTACTCTTTTTGGTAGTTTTGAAATCTGGTCCTAAAGGTGTTTAGGAATGTAAGACTTGCTTTCCACTTCCTGTTGTAATGGTGTGCTAATTGATATAACAGTGATTTCTGACCTATTTTAACCTACTGTGAGATCATAAAAACTTAGTATGATTCAGCTGGCTAAAAGAGTTCATTAAATGTTTTTCTACATGTCTAAATATAATTGATCTTGTCATAGAACAGCAGGATGGACTGATGACTTTTTCAGCTCTGTTTTATGTTGCAGACTGCCTTACGCAGTCTTAAACATTTAATCTTTCTATTTGCCTAGCTGTTGAATGTCTTCTCAAATATTTTTTCTCTTTCATGTTTAGACACAGACATCAGTGAGTCTGGTATTTCTGTAAGAAGTGCTGGTTCAGCTGCTTCTCTGACCAGCCAAGGTGAGCGAAAGAGGAGGACACTTCCACAGCTTCCCATAGAAGAGAAAGTAAATGAAAATTTAAAACCAAAAACTGTATCTCATCAGAGGTCAGAAATAGGTGAAAAGCAAGACACTGAACTTCAAGAGAAAGAAACTCCAGCTCGTGCCTCAGATGCTAAGTCAAGCAGAACAATGAATGGTCTTTCACCCAAAGCTACTGGAGACAAAGTGTTTTCTTTTCCCAGCTCTTCTAGTAAAGAGAGAGTTGAAAGTGGCAGAGAAACTTCTGTGGTGAAACAAGCTTTAGCAAAAATTCAACAGCAAGAAAGAAAGGAGCAAGGACAGTGGGCACCTTCAAAATTATCCTCTACAAAATCTGCTGCAAACCAGATTGAGAAAGGTAGGGAGGAGATTGTTATGTCACCCAAAACTTTGGATAATCAAGAAAATGCTCCCGGACATGTTACAGATAAAGCAGAAATTAAATTGGCACAGATTGAGGGAAAAAGAAGAAAAAATGAGGAAATCATTAGAGGACAAAGTCCTAAAGTACTTGCAGGAGATAAAAAGGAATCTTCAAAACCCTTAGTGAGGCAAGGTAGCTTTACTATAGATAAGCCTAGCACAAATATACCTATAGAACTTATTCCTCACATTAATAAGCAGAGTGGTTCTGCTGCCCCTTTAGTATCTGCAAACAGGTTACGTGACAGAAGTGATTCGATGGACACTGATTCCAGTATAGATACAACACTAATTTTAAAAGACACAGAAGCTGTAATGGCTTTCCTTGAAGCTAAATTGCGTGAAGAAAATAAAACTGATGAAGGTCCTGACACTCCTAGTTATAACAGAGATAACTCCATATCACCAGAATCAGATGTCGATACGGCCAGCACAATCAGTCTAGTTACTGGTGACACTGAAAGAAAATCCACACAGAAGCGGAAGAGCTTTACAAACTTATATAAAGATAGATGTTCCACTGGTTCCCCTTCAAAAGATGTTTTAAAATCTTCTACAAGTGCTAGAGAAAAGATTGAAAAGAAAACTAAGAGTCGATCTTCAGATGGTGGGTCTAGAGCTGACGCTCGCAAAACGGTGCAATCCAGTGGAAGAATGAGGCAACCATCAGTAGATTTAACAGATGATGACCAAACATCCAGTGTACCTCATTCTGCCATTTCTGATATCCTATCATCTGACCAGGAAAACTACTCTGGCAAATCACATGGAAGAGTTCCTTTCGCCTCAGCAGATGAACTTGTACATTCCAAGATGGAAGGAAAGTCAGCTAAATCAAAAACCTCTCCTGTTGGACTTGGGCAGTCCAGTAAATCTACCACTCTTCCAAGACCTCGTCCCACAAGGACTTCTCTGTTGCGCAGAGCCCGCCTTGGTGAAGTCTCAGATAGCGAGCTTGCCGACGCCGACAAGGCTTCGGTCGCTTCCGAAGTGTCCACTACGAGCTCTACGTCAAAACCTCCGTCGGGGAGGAGAAACATTTCCAGAATAGACTTACTGGCCCAGCCTCGCAGGAATCGACTCGGCTCTTTATCAGCACGCAGCGACTCTGAAGCAACAATAACTAGGAGCACTGCCTCGCCGCGTACCCCAGACGCAATCATCAGAAGTGGGTCAAGGCTGATCTCAGGAGGAGACAGTGCTAAAGTTTCTGCTAGAACTCGAGCCAATAGCATTTCTCGACTTTCAGATTCAAAATCCAAATCCTTGGCTTCGGCTCATAATTCTCCCTCAGGTATGTGAGATTATTTGAAATAATTTTGTACAATACTAGATGCTTTTAACATGTCGATTTTTAAAAGAAATTGTTTAAGAAACCACTCTTATGAAACTGTTGAGTTTTAGTTGATGCAGTCTTTTTTCTTTGGAGTAAGAGGCTTCCATGGCATTGTAGAGGCTTCTCCTTTAAAATCATAAAGCCAAGAAACTGTAATCCTTCAATTCTTTGGATATGTTTTCATCTTGAAACCACTAGGAACTGAATTGGGACAGTCAAGTGCATCAACAATAATTCGTTTTAGTGCAAAAACAGTCAAAAGATCTCTTTGCTCAAATCATGGTAGTAGAAGTTCAGGTCAGCAACACTATTTAGTACATAGGAGATATTTATTTATAAGTTAGGCTTGTAAATAGGCAATCAGAGATTTTTTGATAAGAATAATAACGTTGAAGTAATGAATTGAAAAACTATGTACTACCTAACTAAATATCATCAAGAAATGTCTTTTAAAGGGTTTGCCTTATCTTGGATTATTTCCCATTTTGTGTTCCAAATCATGGCGATTTATGAGTCCATCATGATTTCCAGATCATGTTGATCTTCTTTTGCGTGGTGGCTATTCTACCTTGTCTTACATTTGGAAGGAAAAATCCGCACAGTCTACGAATTTTAACCTACTATTCTGTTAGAAGTTAACATAGCATTCTTAGTGCAAGCAGTGTTGGAGCTGGTAGGTTTTTTCAACAGCAATATTAAAGCTATCAAAATAAAATGTGGTAATTATAAAAAAGTGAACTTTCTTGTGAAATGAGTATTTAAAATAAATGTCTGCTTGCTTTTAGAATTGTCATGCTAGCAGCTTTACCATATTTGCAGTCAATCCACAGTCTCAGAATAAAATTGAGTAGCTTCCAGTGATGTAGTGCTCTGGAATTTTGCTACATCCCATTCAGACTTGATATAAGCCACTGTGATACTTAATTTCCCACACTCCTGCTGTCTTTCTGTTGCTTGCATATCATAAGTGGACCATGTCAGGATTCTTAGCACTGTATATTCCCCAGGTACTTAGTTTTGCTGTGTCATTTATTGGCTTAATATAAATTTCTGCTGAGATACACTGCTGAATTGTAGAGTTGACTCTGTGTGATTCTATGACAGGTGTCTACAAAGGTACCCAAAACAGATGACCCTTCAAATAAAAATTTAGTCTTTCCTTGTCAGATATAATTGGAAAAGCAGCATGTTTTCAATTTTAATCAAAATTTTGAATTGTCAATGCAGCCTGAAAGGTGGCAATGCTAGGGTAGGGAAGTGTCAGTTAAGGCTTCCATATATTTATTTTAATAATGAATACTAGTTTACATTATGATAATGCTGATTTCTGGAAGGGTAAAGCCCAGATTTTTTTTTCACTTGACTACTTTTGTTTTTCACAAAACTCTGTATGAACTTTGAGTTTTGTGTCCATGTGAGGTATTGCAGGCTTCCTAGACTTCCCAGGTTGCTGCATTGAAGTGGTTTGCTGCTTCTGTTAAGGGAAGTGAGTGTATCTTTCTCTTCTCACTCTATTAATCTATCATTTTATCGTCTTTGCTAAATGTTCATTTTTCCATGTCCCACAGTAAAAGTTTACTGTAGCTTACATAAAACACTGTTTTCAAGAGAGAAAAGGTGCCATCTTCTCATGGGTACCCCAACATAATAATCTAGGTAATTTTAAAAGACCATTGTTAGAAAAATCTACAGTAGTAGTAGCTTCTGTCTTATAAAACTGTATCAGTTAATATATATCAATGGAGAAGTCCATGACTATAAGGGCCAGAATCTGAAAGTAATTAATGAAGCAGTCAGGTACTTTCAAAACAAAATCATTGCTAAATAAACCGATTAAGTCTTGTTAATACATAAGTAAAAAATATTATTACTGCTGTTTTGGATCTAGAGTTCTGAATTTCGTCTGTATCAGTAACATTATTGTATAATTTTTTTACTGATTTATTTTGGTTATTCTTTAGGAAAATTTGAATTGCTTTGAAAGTGGTGTAACCTTCTAGTGTATATAGGAGTATATGTATAAATGCATCTCCAACTACATATAGGCCACTTTTAATTCCTCAATTTAATTTTGTTTCTAGAAAAGTCAACGATTAATTTTAGCACTTTTGGAAAGTACTAATGAAGTGCTTGACTAAAGCACCTCAGCTGTTCGGATATGTTTTACTTCAGGCACATATAATCAAGGTGTGACAGGAATGGATTTTCTTCTCTCCCTGGACATAGAAAGACTGGAAAATGAATGATTATTACCACTATTGGGTTGGGGATTTTGTTTCCTTTACCAGAGGACTAGCTTCTCTCAAAATGTTAAATATGTTCCATGGGTTATCTCATCAGAGGTCAGTTAACACTACCACATTGTAGATCAGTAAACACTGGCAGCCTCTTAAATCCAGCCCACAAAGAGCAAGTTATTTCTGAATTTCCCAAATCAATGTTCAGACACATATACCTGTAAAAAGAAAGCAAGAATAAGGTGTAGTTTCTGGATTTTTTTTATTGTCTTGTACTTCATGTGGATGAATTGCAATATGATAGAGCTAAAATTATCAGAGCTAGCAGCAAGTCTGTAATTTCAAGAATCATTTCTAATCCTTGATGCAGTGAAGTATTGCTTACTTTTATATGAAAGGGCAAGCAGATAAATGCAACAGCTAGGGTGAGAACTGTTAGCATTGAAGTCATTCCCAGAGTGTTTCTGGGGTAGGAGGCTTGATAACTGAGAACACTGTGAAGACACATGAAGCAGAATTAGTAACTTTATAGCACAAGCAGTGAAAGGTCTGGTGAAGGCACTGCCTCATCAAACAGTAGAGTGTGATCAATAAAAACAGAGGAGCCCAAAGACCTATTTTCACAACAAGAGAGGGAAATTGAAGATGATGTTACAGAAGGAGCTGTGTGTCAGGAATACAAACGGCAGGATCAGCCGTGCAAAGCTGCTAAGCTGCAACTGTAAAATTGGGCATTGAGTCAGAACAGAGAGACCTTGAGCAGCCAGCTGTGTTTGGCAGCTCTGCTGCCTTGCTGACCTAGCTGTCATTGCACATAGCTGGCAGATAGGTTGATCAAAGCTGTTGAGGTAACTGTGGGGGAAAAGAAATTGATAATTGAGAAAAAACAGCCCTTACTAAGTAGATTTTAGTAGTAGGAGCTTGGAAATGGATGCACCTTGAGAAGTCAATGCCTCAATCAGAGTAGAATACATTCTAAGTAGTATAAGGAATATATTCAATAAAATTTATTCTCAGATCTTTGAAGTGAGAGTATGTTGTCCAAATCACCAAACTTACCAGCTTAATGTTTGTCAGGACATTATATTTCTCACAGAGTAGTCACTAAATTAGGTTTGAGTGCTGATTATTTTAGCCAGGGTTTTGGAGGATTTTCTAGTTAATGGTACTGGTATTCACAGTCTTTGGTGTCTGAGATAAGCAACTGCACAATAGCTTTCAGAAATGTATATAAACTACAGTGACATTTTGGGCCTGCATAATTTAAAGATAGTATTAAAAGCATATATATGCAAATGTATAGCTACCTCACTGGGAAACATGCTTGGATATGCTTGTCATGAATTTCACAACTTTGAGATTTTTACTTCTAGGCCTACAGTAACTTTGTCCTCATATTAAACACATTGATCATATGTAACACCCCAACATTTCAAGGCCTTAAAATGTAATGGTCTTAAAATTAGGGGTTTTATGATACTACGTAATGTTACAAATGATTGTTAATTATTTCATTTCAGTTAGTATCTCTGAAATGTTTAAACCTTTACAAAATTCAGTATTTTTTATTGAAAGTATAATCTTTTCCTAAAAAAGTGTGGGTGGAAAAGAGGACCTAAGACTAATTTCATAAATATATTTTATTTAAGCAAATGCTTCTAATCTGAATGTTTTAAATTGAATTAACGTGATAAAACACTATTTTGTACACAGAGAAATCCAAGCTTCTCCCAGACCCAGACCCTGATGTTGAAACTTACAGTGGTAGAGTACTAGAAATCAAATCTGTTTCTGATATTTCACTTCTCATTCAATTTTTAGTTTTTAAATATATTATTACATATGCTCATTGTACAGTGCTGAGTTGCTGAAGTATCTCACTTGAGAGATTTTAACATAAATTTTATAATTATTTTAAAGACTATAATTCTAACTGGGAAAAAGAATTTAAACAAAAAGGGATGAAAAAATGTGGGCCCAACTCATAAATCTCTTTGGACTTTGGTCACGCATTGCTTGCATGCTGTTGGTGGGAAAATGTACTTTTTCTGCTCATGTTTTATTTCCCTAAGATCAAACAACTTTGAAGCCTCCAAAAAAGAGATCAGAAAGTGATTGGAGAGACATTGTTACTTTCCACATTAAAGTTAGAAAATTTAAAAAAAGTAGAACTAGACATCATTTGAAACCCATATTTAAACCTGAAAAAATTGCACCAGCACATGTTTGTTTTCAGCAGTTGAAACTTCATTATTTGTATGAGGGAAGGGATGTAAGCTTATACACCAATGTCATATTCTACATACCATAATCTTTGCATTACACAAAAATTACTTCCATTATTTGTTACTTAAATTCATATTGGTGTATACTTCATTTGTAATGCTCATTTTTTAATGTATCAGGAGAAATCATTATTAGTTCTTGAATTTTTTAATACTAAAAACCAGTTTACATCATTTGGTTCTATATTTTTCAATCACCAATAGGTGGTCACACACTTAATTCATTTTCTGCAGTACTTACAGAGCCTCATGAATGTCAATGAATTAGGGGTATTAAATCCCCTGCAACAATTTAGCAGGCTGTGGTGATGAGGATTTCTTTACACTTGGTGGTATCTCTTCCTGCTGGAAATGTCTGAGGACAGCACATCTGAAATCCATTTTCTAGACTTTAGTAATTCATAAGGGGACAAGAGTCTCCTGCTTAGTTCCAGTTCTCCTGTACTTCAGGCTGTCCTCACCAACAAGGCTGTGTAATGCTTTATGTGCTGCGTGTCAGAATATATACTTCTTTCTCTGAGGCTGCTTTTCTTATGGATGTGCTGCAGATCTGGATATATTAATTTTATATATTCTTTTTCTGTACTAAACACATAAGCATAGAATCATTAAGGTTGGAAAAGACCTACACATCATCTAGGAATTTTATGCTTTCCTTACGTAAGCATGCATTCCAGGCTTGGTGCCAGCTCCATCCCTCCTTCATATCTCCTCATTTTCTTTGTTGTGTATCACATAAACCTTGGATGAAATTTGGGAAAAAATCTGCAGAAAAAGTGCAATCTGACTATATACTTAAATGTTAATGAATTGGGCCCTTGTTTTGTAATACAGTTTGTTTGAGCTCATACACAATCACTGGCTTTTACATCTTACTTTACTCATCACTATACAAAGAGCATTAGTTTTATGTTTTTATTAATCAATATTTTTTATTTAACTACTACAAATTCTGTAGCTTTCTTTTAAAGATGTAGTAAATAAACCTTTTGTGAGGTACCTGGGGATGGATAATAAATAGCTGTGTATTTTTTGTGATGTTACTGAAATAATGCTGTTTTCTCTTATTAAAGACGCCATAATAATTCTTTTTTAATAATTAAACTAATTTAGTAAGTGCAAGATGGAGGCGCTTTCCTACAGATTATGCTTCCACCTCAGAAGATGAGTTCGGATCAAACCGTAATTCCCCTAAACATACCCGTCTGCGTACCTCTCCAGCCCTGAAAACCGCGCGACTGCAGAGCGCTGGGACAGCAGCTCAAAGCAGCAACACCTTCAAGCACAGGATAAAGGAGCAGGAAGACTACATTCGTGACTGGACTGCCCACCGGGAAGAGATAGCAAGGTTGGTTTGAAAGGAGTGCTCCCAAAGTAACAGAGTTTGTACCCAGGTGCACATAGAGGACAAAGGGAGCTGATGGATTTGCTCTGTCGCTCCTTACTGCTTTCCTTCACTCACTGAATGGGTTACTTAAAATTCTTCTTACGAGAGAAGTGTCTGGCAGGCAGAACACTCACACCACCTGCACATCTCTTTTTAGTGGAAATTGATAGTAACTTCTGATTTATGGTAGCCAAATCCCAGAAGATGAACTTTCAGTTGCATTATTGGGACTTGCAGAGGTACTTGGTGTATATCCCAAGGCTGAAGTGTATGTGATTTTGTACTCCTTTACATATTGAGATAAAATTTCAGATCAATCACAGGTGACAGAGAGAGAAAAAAGTAAGCTTTGGAGTGTGAGAGACCATGTTCTCATTTTCATTTTTGATTTATCAGGACATTATTTCATGTTAGGTACTTTCTGATTTAAGTCATGCGTATTCACCAAAAAGGAATTTTTTTTTTTGTTGCAAGTCCATGAGATTAGTATATCAATACCTCTGTCATTGCTGGCACTACTCTGCTTCAGGTGAACCAAGGCAAAGTTAGTTGCACATTCTGGTAACCAATTAATGCCATATCATGCAACACCCAGCAGTGAAAACTTCAGAGATCTTGCACAAGCACGTAAATGTTATTTGATACTTAGATGTTGTCAGTGTTCAGGTTCCAGAGATTTTCAAAGAACTTAATTTGGAAGCCTAAACAAGAAATAGTCTTTCCTTTTAAGATTAGTTTTAATAGTGTAGAGTATTTTCTTAATACTGTGGAAGTGTTTTGCTTAGTGTGAGTAATTATTCCTGATTTTGGTAATATTTTTCAACATTTGTTTTTCTGTTGTGATCTGTGCAAAAGGAAGATGTAGTGACCTGAGAGACACACAGAATATACCTAAGGGAGTCTCATAGCATCTGGACAAATAACGAAATAAATATTTTCAAAATAATCTTCCTAGAACATCTCTTTCTTTTCAGAAGTCTGAAGTTAGAGATGGTTATAGGAAGGACTGTGTGTATATGGGAAAAATAATTGATAGCCATAGCATATTAGTTCCTCCTGATAACTAGTACTGCTGAACCTCTACTTCAGTGAAACTTTTTGATATGTTTTGCTCATCTAAGATAGATTGATCCTGGACATAATTGATGATTCAGTCTAAATTCATTTGATGGTTAGGTTTGCAGGTTTTTCTCTTCCCTTGGGATTCTTACCCTTTCCTACATTTATGTATTGGCTTTAAAATTTGTTTTAAAGGCTGTGTACTTATCCTATGTCTTCAGCTTTATTTTCAGTTGAATTGCTGAGAGGCTCAAATCAGTACTGCCAAATTTTTAGGTTTATTTTTAGGTTTATGCAGGTTTTACACAACCTGCATTAAATGAACTTATCTAAGGTAAAGAAAAGTAGCATTTAGCATCTGAGAAATTCCAAGTTACTGTCATCTGTTGTCGCTGCTTCCAATACCAGTTTTAGCCTCTGCTGAGGGCATTTGCTGTAGGTCACTAGTTCATCCTTTCTGTGTCTCTATATCTTTGTAGTGATTGACATTTTTGCTCCCTTGGCTTTAATTTTAGCTTCTGTCCTCTATAAGAAACTTTTTGTCTCTGCTCCTATTTCCTTGCTAACTATAGGGTCTATTATTGCCTGCCCTGGTTTTTTTTCCATCCCAGCCATTAGTCCAGCCCCTATGTTCAAGGTTCCTTCAACTCTACTCAGAGTTTAAAAAAAATTAAGATGGCTATATGCTCTCATTAAAATCAGTTGATTTATTTTTGTTGTTGTTGAATAACTGATTAGATTGTAAGGATAAGCCTTTCATAAAATACATGTGTAGCAGAAAGTAGCGTAGAAACCGTACAGCAAAAATTTCTTTGCATCTGTGTTACCATCATACTGTGTTTTAATGACTCCATGACTGCCACAGTATGCACTTTTCACAGACTTCAGGATTTACAGATGTTAATAAAACTGAAAATTTGAAAGAGGTATTTAGAGAAACTTCCTGGAATAACTAAACTTGATTTAAAGCACTTTGACACGGAGAGAATTTATACCCTCAGAATAATGGGAGCTTCACAAATATTTTATTTAAGGATGTTAAAGTATTGTTACAAAATCCACTGAATAAGTAAAGGAAGTGTAACATAGCAGACTAAGCATAAAAATGTTTTTAGTAATCCAGTAGTTCAGCACTATTACAGATATCTTAGAAGTATTCCTATTTCCTTGTATTTTTTTCTAACACTGGGTATTCTTTCACTACAGGTAAATAAGAACTAGAGTTCCAGGCTTGGAAAGGTGGTCATGCTCTCTCCATCCCAAGCCATGTGTTCTCACCTTATCCTATGTGCTGGAAACTGAGTCTGTTCCCTTTGTAGCTGTGTAGCTGCCTGAGTCTGCTCACCAAGTGAATCTAAAGCAGTATTTCCTGGAGCGGGTAGAGGGATTTAGGGAATTTGAGGTTTATTAGTTCTGCCTCCATGAATTGATTTGCCTTGTATGCTTGCTAGGTCTGATGCAGGAAGCAGTAGGTCTGCAAGGCAGCCTACAGTTGTAGTAGAGTAAATAGTGTGCACCTAGAGCCTCAGTCTCTTGTCCCTGATTACACAAAGCATACTGCTTGTACTTAAGCAAAAATTTATGCTTCTGAAAGTTAACATAGAATTACTTGAAAACTTCATAGGTCAGGCTCAGCTCACAGCTGGTTTCTAATATTCTTTTTCACCGTGCTTCTCATTTACTGCTCTATATTGTTTCTATACAGGAATGTAATTGAGTACTGAACTATAGCTTACTTTCACATAGAAAATTATTCCAGATTTTGTTCACATGACTGATATTTGACTGTGATAATTATCTGGTTTTTGCCATCAATGTTAGAGTTGTTTGTCCTGATACTTCTGGGATTTGTTTGAGTTAATTTTTATGTAGAGATCTGACACTTTATGCAATTTTGATTTCTTGCTAAGAACTCAAATGAAGTGGTTGTGTCATGTTGAAACATTGCTGATTTCTTTGAAGAGTTAAGTCTTCATGAATAGATGCTACTTTTGATTATGGTGTTTAATGATGTTTCTCTTCTGAAAAATTTGCTGATAATTGATGTCTCCTAGTTTTATTTTCTTCACAACTACTGATTAAATACCAGAATTTGTCCCAGAAAATCAAATGTGAATAGTTGCAACTTTTCTATTTAAGGAAAAAGTTAGACGATTGTATGACACAAAAAAGTAGCTCTTTTAGGGTATCTACTACTAAGAATGTTGGACTTTGAATGGCATGTGTAAATTGCCATATATTTGTCTACAGCCTTCTTCCAATTATATGTGTATAATATATTTTATTATAATATACTTTATTGTGGATTGCTGATGATTAGCCACAAAATCCAGTGTTGGAATTTGGCTGGAAATTTCTCTAGTTATGTTTGCCTTTCTAGTTGAAATTCTGTTCACTTAATCTTAAGCTATCTCTAGGCCAGTGGTGTCCATTGTTTTTGAGTTGAAGACAAAGTGAAAATTAAGAGCAGAAGGAAGCTCACCTTGAGCAATCAACCTCTGTGGAGCCCAGGGTGTGTCACTGTCACGTGGCTGTGCACCTCCTTCCACTTGAGCAGTGGGTGCTGTTTGTGTCACCGAGTCCTCGGTGGCGCAGAAGTGGCACTGTCACCTTCTGTGCCTTCGGTGCTGTCAGGCAGAAGTGTGAAAGGGGATCACTTAGCAGTCTGCTCTTCTCAAATCTGTGATCCAAGCTGGAGATTCAGGGTGCCATAATGGCTTTTAGCTTTTGCTTTGTGGGGGTTTTTGTCTTGTTCCCTCCTTCTTTTGGGGTGTTCTGGGGAGGAGTAGCACAAGCAGAGCAAGCCGGAGCAAAGCTGGTTTTTTGATGCGCTGAATCAGAAGCAAAGAAAAGGACTCTTAGGCTGAGAATTCAGCTGTATTTTTGTAATGCTATCATACCCAGGTTTTAAAGGTATGTTGTATTTTTGCCACTGAAAATATTTCTTGATTACATTTGGGGATTTAGGCTATTGGTCTGGAATTTCAGACCCATAAGCAGCTTGATCTGAGTGAGGTGAGGAAATGCTAGAAGTTCAGAAGTCCTGAAAACGTTTTTTTTCAAGTAGGCAAACTAAGGTACAAATTAAATGATTTCTGAGCATTTCAGATTTATTGCCATGTTACACAGCTCATCTGTGCAGTATTTTCAGCATACTTCCTATGCATCCTCTGTGTTGGATATACTGCACATTGCATGTATCTGTCTGAATCCTAGGAAGAAAAAAAGGATACTCTGTCTTTTGAGATCACCTTTCACCTTCTTCCTCTAGAAAGGCATGCTGTTAAAAGCTTCAGTCAAAACTTGCTGTTATGGCTCTACAAGTAATCTTTCTGTTTAAAAAGGCATGCAGCTTTTCATAGCATGGTCATCAGGAACTTGAACTTACAACCTCAAAGGCTGCAGATTGGGCTCTACTGGCCCAAAAGTGTTTGCAGGGGTGAATGTAACACTCTCTTTATTACTAGGATCAGTCAAGATCTGGCTCTCATCGCACGGGAAATCAACGATGTAGCAGGAGAGATAGATTCAGTGACTTCATCAGGCACTGCCCCCAGTACCACAGTAAGCACTGCTGCCACCACCCCTGGCTCTGCCATAGACACTAGAGAAGAGGTAGGAGATCTTCATGGAGAAATGCATAAGGTTCTTCCTTTTCTTTATTTCTTTTGCTTTTAGCATTTTGCATAGCCTTTTTAGTTACTCCATTCAACCCGTATGCATGATCTCAACCTTTTTTTTTCATTTGAAGTTCCTTTACATTTCAACAAACAACCCAGGAGTTATTTTGTGAACATAGCTTGTCAAAAGGATGCATACTATCTGTCTGTCTCTTTTTTTCCACGAAACATAGGACAAGGTAGTTATTTGTTTTTTGCTTGTCTGTAGCCTTAGATACTGTTGGACGGTATCTAAGTGCATTTAAAGACACTAGTGTGTATGCACAACTATATATAAATGTATACATTTAATTCTTTGCTTAGCTATTAAAAACAAAAAAGTCCCTCTTTTCACAGGTGACATAAAACTTTCATCTTCTGAACACTGAAAAACTTAGGTACCATCAGTTAACTTTAGACTTTCTTTCTTAATAACATTGCCAAAAACTGCCTTTAAATAAGTTTGCTTTCTGCTTCTAATAATTCTTATTTTCTTGCCTACCTCTGGTGTGCTGTTCTATGAATATATTGACTAACGTTTTCTAGTAATCATCACAGGTCTAATGCTGGTAAACATGTTAATCTGAATTTAAGTCATCACTTTCTATCATGTTACAGTTCGCCATAATAATGTGTTGTAAATGTTTAATGCATTTTTTCTTCATAGTATTCCTTTCAAAATGTGTTTTATTCATTTTTGTGTGCATAAATTTTGGTTAATACACTAGTTTACTGTGGTTAGTTTAATACTGTCTCTTTCTGTGGAAAAAAAGATATAAACAGCAACAAGAAATCTGTGAGCTGGGTACTCAGAAAAATTATAAATGCACTCACATAGATTTTGGGTTTAATTCTCATAGACTGTGGTTAAACTTTAAAGAAGTAAAATGCTCTTTTTCTCAGATCCAATTAGATCACTCCAAATTTTTTTTATCTTTAAATAATTATTTTCTTCTTCAAAAAATACAATGCATTGTGTACATACTGCAGGTGGCAGTATCTCCTTTAGGTAGTGTAAGTCTTTCTGTAACACTATGACTTATTTGGAAAAAAACCCTAAATCTCGGAGTACTCTTCTCAATTCCACAGATATGTTCCATTAATCAAAGGAATTAATTATCCAGTACCAGTTTATAGGTAGCTATTATGTTACCTGCCCATAAGGAAAATTTCAGTGGGCTAGTCTAAATTTGCCATGTATGTCTAGCATTTAAAAAAAACCCCAAATCTTGTTCATTTGTACAAGATATTTTTACATAAGAGATGCATCATTTTATACTATAGAAGACAACAGAATGATTATTATTTGATAGACATCTTAGAAACTGTTTCGGGAGAAAAAACCCCAGTAATCTGATTTTTGGATGTGTCCAGTAGATTTCATGAACTTCATTTTTCTTTTATCCCGCAGTTGGTGGACCGAGTATTTGATGAAAGTCTCAATTTTAGAAAAATCCCTCCAATAGTGCATGCGAAACCCCCGGAAGGGAATGGTCGGCCTAGTGATGCCAGACCTCAGCTGACAGAGGCCCTCGATCCCCCAACAATTACCCGCAGAAGGACTTGGAGCAGAGATGAAGTGAGCACACAACAGGATTCTCTCTAAGAATGTGTCAATTTTAAGCTTTTGCAATTATCTCCCCACTTAATATTCTAGACATTATCCTGCCTTTCCTACCTCTAGCAGGTGGCATTAATATTTGAAAAAATGATGTATTATTTTATTGGCAAAATGTTCAAATATCATTGTATATGATGCTATCTAAAACATAAGCAAGATTTTTTATAGTTAAAGATACCAAAATATGTTGAGTTGTTACTATTAAACTAATAATATCCTTTTTTATTAAAAACTTATTGCAGGTTATGGGGGACAGTTTGCTGTTGTCCTCAGTCTTCCAGTTTTCTCGCAAGATAAGACAATCCATAGACAAAACTGCTGGCAAAATCAGGTGGGTTGTTAAAAATTGCTGTTATTGCTGAACATGTCTGTTCCCATCAACATTCCCACCAGTAAAATATATATATATATATATAATAATCACAGAGGAAATGTACATAGTAGAAGCTTGTCTTTTAAAAAAGCATCGTTACCTATGGCATTTTTAGCATTCAGAAGGATTTGGAATGAATACTTTTTCCATTATTCCTTCTGTTTATTTCACTTTATGTGAGGAGAAATATCAGAAAAGTTTACATGGACAGAACAACATCCAGCAGAGGAGCTCCTCCAACATATGCAATACTGTACAAAATCTACCCAACCTCTGTGCAAGTCTTGTAAATCTCCCTTCCTTAAAAGATAAGGTTAAAATGTTGCTGAACTCTAACATTGGGCCCTATAGGTTTGCCAGGTTGTTGTAGGGATTTTGCATTTTAGAAAGAAAAAACTAATTGGACAGAGGAGAGCTGTTTCAGTAAATCCTTCTGAAAAACAGCTCTGGAGACAATGTGATTCCTATTGATTTCTAAAACAACAGATGTAGCCACCTCTCATTGTTAATTGAAAATTCCTGCTTAAATAGTTAGATTCCTTCATAAGATGTCATAGTAGTTAAGAGGAAGTGTAGACATGTCAATAATAGTAATATGTTGCTCTACTGACAGTTCCATTTAACTTCATTATGTGAGTGTAAAACCAGTTGTGACCACTTTGGTTGACAAGAATAAAAGAAAATTCATAATACAAAGTTCAGGGTTGTATATTTCTTATGTTTTTCATGTCTTTGTGCCATTAATAACTTAAAAATAAGAAGTCTTTGGCTTAATGCATAATTTTCTGAATGTGAGAAAATATTAGGTCTGGAATTGATTGGTTTGTTTAGGAAGTGTCAGATATTGGAATATTAGATGAGTGACAGATTAAACAACAAAAATGTATGTCAGAATAGGGTGATGTAACCAGTAAAAGCAACAAAATACTAATATATCTGAAGATTGTATTCTCATGGGATTACCAGAAAAGATTTGGCCATAGAAATCAAGAAGAAAAATAATAATCTATATAAATCAGTTAACACTGTAGGTTTACTGCCATTTCTAGTCCTGCTATTTCTACTAGGAAAAGTATCACCAAGTGAAGAATCAATTATTTAAAAGCCTGTAACTCATTTTAATTATCCTATTCTAAGGAATTTTGTGTGTTGTTTTTACTGGTGATTAACAGTTAACGTTAAATTGAGGTCTTACACATTTCTGATTAATTTTCTGATCTTAAAAAGCAAGTCAGCTACTAATAAATGCAATAATAATGTGCTCATGTATGATATAAATACAAGCATACCTACAAATATTTTATACATACTCAAAGAAAGGGGAATTTTTTTTCTATAAAAATGCAGTAAACTTCCATTTATAAGGAATTACTTGGCCTTTTCCCCAGGGCCATGTTGAAAACTTTCTTTTCCTCTGAATGGGTTAGAATAATATGATGTTATTCATAATTTCATTAATATTTTGAATCAGAAAAACAGCATTACTTTTAATATTGCTTTTAGGGAGTGCCTATTACAGATTTTTACCTTAGCTTTGTTTTGAAATACATGAGTTCAGCCAACTGGTGTGCTGCTATTCCTCTTTCTGGACTTAAGCCAATTAAAATTTCTGACCAGAATAATTACAATATCTTCATAAGGGGGGTGCTCCAGCCCTCTGATCATCTTCGTGGCCCTTCTCTGGACTCACTCCAACAGGTCCATGTCCTTCTTATGTTGTGAACTCCAGGGCTGGATGCAGCACTCCAGGTGGGGTCTCAGCAGAGCAGAGGGGCAGGATCCCTGCTGGCCACTCTGTTTGATGCAGCTCAGGATAGAATTGGGTTTCTGGGCTGTGAGTGCCCATGGCTGGGTCATGTCCAGCCTCATCCACCAGCACTCCCAAGTCCTTCTCCCCAGGGCTGCTCTCCATTCATTCTCTACCTAAGAGAAGCCTGTGCTTGTGCTTTTATATGTTACATTGAGTTTGCAGGAGTTTTCACAGATTGTGAGGGAAAGAGCTAAGTAGGTTTTGTGGTGAGAAATCTGCAGTTTATCAGTGCTCTGCAATGTGAGTGCAGTGCCATTGGCTTGTCTTGTAGCAGGCAAGTTCCTCTTGAGCCAGGCAAAATCTTGGCAAAGCAGTCACAGCAGGGGAGGTACTGCCTGTTGGCCTCTGCTGTTTGCTGGGCATCCTGCAAAGTGCACTGAAAGAAAAATGGGGATTGGGCACAATCAAGTAAAAAAGAAACTTACTACGAAAGCAGGGAAAAGCAAGAGAAGAAGGCAATTGGCATTTATAAAAATATTATTTTAACTTGAAAAATATAGTTAGAAAGGGGAATAGCAAAGAAGACAGAGATGATGATCCCCCAGGAAGTTAAAAATACCTAAATGAAAAAAAGATAAAGTTAAAAAGGAAATAGGCTTCCTAAGTTTATAGTAAAAACAAATTGGCTGTCCACTTTATAGTTTAAATAATAAAAGTTTCAAATTTTCTAATTAACGCTTTCATTTTGTTCCATTCTTTTTTAATAAAGTGTTCAAAAAGATAAAGTTAAAAAGGAAATAGGCTTCCTAAGTTTATAGTAAAAACAAATTGGCTGTCCACTTTATAGTTTAAATAATAAAAGTTTCAAATTTTCTAATTAACGCTTTCATTTTGTTCCATTCTTTTTTAATAAAGTGACCAATGAAATGAGAACCTTTCAAATTTTAGAAGAGAAGAACATTAGCTCTAAAAACACCACATAGAGAAGCAAAGGCACTAATCACATACATCAGGATAGGATTATTTTAACAGAACATGGCAAGAAGGTAAATAAAAAAATCACACAATATCACAATAGCTTTTTTTTTTTTTTGCTAGTGATGTTTACTGCTAAATAAAGCCTTATTTTCTATGTTCCTGCTGATTTCCAGGTGATATAAATGCTATTATATTAGAGAAAGTATGACTGCATAAGATTGTCTGTATACTGAATAAATATTTCCAGAAGTTGCTTTTTTAAAAATGATGATCCTGTAAAGGACTTTGTTGTCTCTGCTTTATTTTCTTCTCTTTTTTTTTAATGTGTATTTGAACTCCTCAATGAAAAGCATGTACTAAATTTTCCATTGTATCTGAAATTTTTGGTATCCAGGCTGTATGACTTTGCAAGCTTTTTCACTCCCTGCCAAAACATGAAAAAATTGCCAGACCTCTGATGATGAACTTTTTCAAAAGATGATGACCTAGTTAAGGCCTTAACATGTTTCCTGCTTTCTTCACTGCACTTCTGATTACTTTTAGTTTATTTATTTATTCCTTCCCCAAGAAAAAGTGTGTATTAATGTTTACTCCTTGTAAGCTTTGTACGTGAATAAACCCAAGTCTGGCAGAAGTTGTCACTTGCCTCCATCCCATGACATTTTGTCATCAAAGTAGCACTTCCTCACAGTGAAACCTCTGACATAAATACATTCCAAAGCAGCAGTGAGTGAAGACCTCAAACATGGAAGGGTTAAAGCAGCTGCTGGATGAGTTGTCTGTCACCAACATCTGTATACTGATAAAACAAGGCAGGGTACATATTTTGCAAAATTAGATAATCCTCACAGGATAATAGTGGAGAATGAAATTCCCCATCAGGTGTGCAGAACTGAAGGAAGGTGAACAGAAATGCAGTACTAAGGCTCACAGCTTTCTTTCAAATTCTTAGTCTTTATGACATCCACTGTATCATGAACTTCCAACTTAAAAATTATTTCCTCAGAGAACTAGCTACAATAATAGCTTCTTTTAAATATACTGCTCTTTGACCATTATTTGAAATTGTGTGGTTGGTTTGTTTAGCAGTTTTACTGCAGCTATTTTTGAACTTTTTAACTTTTAAATACAAATTAGAGAAGTGGATTCTGTGTCATCATGGTGTCACTTCACAGACCTTAAAAATATCTGCACATTGCTTTTTTTTTTCCTTTTCTTTTCCAATTGCACCAATGGAGAAAGTTGAAATTCTGTTTATTATATGACAATAAAACCAAAAATTTTATCAAGCAGGGAAGCAAAACATAAAAGATGGGAATCTCCCACTGGGCTTTGGGGTTTTACAATAACGAGGGACTTTAAACATGTAGTGATATTCATACAAGTGATACTCATACTACTAGAACATATATATATATATATAAAATGTACATACATATTGAGACTTTTCAATGAAAATATTTTCTAGAAAATGCATTTTTTAAATTTCCTAAAGTGTTTTAATTTTTATTCATATAAAATACAAATGTAAAAGCTGAATTCCTTTATCTTATATTTTGCTATTATTGTAAAATGAAGTATTAATGGGGGATTTTCTCACTCCAGTAAAATAGTTGGCTTTTAAAAAATATGTCAGTGCTGGAGGAAAGAACTAGCTGTATCTCTATATATACTGTAAGTGATTATTTAGCTACAGAACTGCCATTTTAATGTCAATAATAATGATTTTGCTGAAAATCATGAAACCTGTATGTTTCCCTGAAAATTTAAACTGTATGGTTAGATTCCATCAGGTTTCAGATTTTATATTTTATTTTCATTTAGTACTCCTTATGCTGTTTTCTCCTATCATGTTATTTAATCTTTCGGATTATTTTGTGTGGGTTTTTTTCTATTTTAAACATACTGTTGGATTTCTTTCTTCTAGAATATTATTTAAGGACAAGGACAGAAATTGGGAGGAAATTGAAAACAAGTTACGAGCTGAAAGTGAAGTTCCTATTGTGAAAACATCAAGCATGGTATGAATAATTACCTTTTCTGGGACTGATTATGTTGCTCATCTCATGGCTAAGTAATCAGTAGAGGAATTTGGTGTTTTCAGTGACATAAGGGAAAAAATCTTTAAAAAACCTTATTTAGACGCTAAGTATGTTTCAAGAATAAACCTAATCTTCAGTAATTACTAAGACTTACTGTCTTAGTAAGTAATTACTTTCTTACTGTCTCATTAAGAAACAAGTAATTGTTCAGGAGAAATTTTCAGATTAAGAATGCAATTAAAGGGATTCAAACTATCCACAGACCATCAGTACGTTTGCTTAACAAAAGGTAACAACCATTAGTTTTAATGTTAGATTGCTTTTGAATGAACTTGGTTTACAGTCTTAAAACTACTTTACCTACTGATCATTAATGCTTAATATGTAATACTTAACAGTAGTAATACTGATTATTAATATTTAGAGAAATTGTTGTGTTTTAATGCATGTGATGAAAATAATCCATAGACACATTGCAATAAAAGGATTTGTCAGTGAAAAACAATCCTGTTGGCTTTGTCTGGAAGTGGTAACCACAGGTTGCCCACCAGCACTCCAGCTGTTTTATGTAATAGCCTAATTACAGAAATCAGCTATGGTTTATGGGCTAATTCAGGCCATTTCAAGACCAGACTGTGTGACTGTGAGGGGACAGACCACATGTTGTGTCTCAGTACCCTTCTCCTCTGCTTCTAAACACAGAGCATAGGGTTTGAAAAACATCCTTCCATGAGACAACAAGCAGAGCCCAGCTTCATTATCCATCTGCAGTCTGCTGTTAAAAATATCTGTTTACAGAGGCAGGATTTTTTGTGGGAGAGAAAACTGCACAAATGTGAATACATTTCCTCTGGCATTGAACAGGTAGAACTTCTCTGTTAGCTCATCATCAGTTAGTAAACTCCTCCAGACTGATTTTTCCTGGAAGTATAAAAGACTTAGCCTGTAATTTCTGAAGAATGGTGTATTTATCAAGAGCAACAATCAGTAACTCAGTAATATAATTTAATAGATTTGCTGATAGGCTTTGTTAGGTTTTTCAAAAATTTAATCCAAGTTCCTCATGGAAGTTTCTAATTTTTGAAATATTATAATATAAGAAGTTTCTCTTATCCCTCTCCAAGTAAGATGCAAATTTAGTGTTTTATATTCTAAATGGCCTAAATGTGGAGGGTTAAGGTATTCTTAAAAAAGAAAAAGGTTAGTTGTACATTCATTCCTAAATTCACCATTTTACTGAATTTTTTTCAATCTATTAAAGCATCTCACACTACTTGAAAGTTTAAGGGTTGTTCAGGGGTTTTTTGTATACGCACTGATTTTCAAGTTTCTGCTTAGTTTTCAGAGCAATTTGTTGTTCAAATGCAGTGCCTTCTTTTACCACAGAACATTAAAAGTTAAGAAAGGACAGTTGCAAGTGATGTTTGTTTTGTCCTTGGAACATTTATGTCCAGCTCAGATGTGAAATCTGCTTAAAGATAATGACTTCGTAAAGATAATCAATCTCTTTGCCACCCGTGAAAATCACACTACTTAGTACAGAACAGCTTTCTGAAATGGATTAATGGTTTTCTGAAATCAGTGCCTTTGAAAATTCTCAGCTTTAGAATACCACTGACAGCTCTTCTCAGAAGCTCAGTTAACTATTCCTCCATGTAGGATTCTTCAATTGTAGGATTTACATATTTCTACTAATATAAATATGCTAATTCTATAACCAGGGAGATTACTCAGGAAGTGGTCATAGCACCAAGAGTGCCAGAGTTCAAGAACCCTTGGAAAATGCTCTCAGGCTCTTGGCTTGATTCTTGGGGTGATTCTTGGAGTGTCCTGTGCAGGGCCAGGAGTTGGACTCAATGATCCTTGTCCCTTCCAGCTCAGGTTACTCTGTGATCCTACAGCATTAGATGTGGTATATTTAATGATTGCTATGTGGCTGTGACTGTGTTAGCAAGTAGTGCAGCCCAGTGGAGAAAAATCTGTAAGGCAGAGTGCTGTGGCCCCAGCACTGGGGTGCTGTACAAGGTCTCATGGGGACAGAACCTTGATGCAGTCATCTCACTGTCTGACTCACTTCTCTACACTCTCATAAATTACTCAGTTCCATTTAATACTGAGTTTATCCTGTAACTTCCTTTTCAAGGTCTGCTGTTACTTTGCCTGATCTCTACAGAGCTGTGGTGTCTGTGCTTGAGCAGAGGTGGCACAGGCAGATGAGCAAGGGTCAGAATGAGGCCGTGGGGATGGTAGCAGGCAGTCAGTGCAGAGGGCTCTGGCTTTCCCACTGGGACTTGGCTCTCCAGCCTCCAGCACTGCCACCCATAGGTGGGCCACCACCAGCACAGATGTTCTTGATGCCAGGAGGGACAATCCAAACAGCATAATGCAATTGGACACGTTTGGGAGAGGAATTGTTCACTCCTGAGAGGTAGTTTAAATTTATTTTTCCATTCTGGAAATTTCCTTTATTTTTCCATCATGGCCTCAAGCTGGGAGAAGGAAGATAGGATAGATAGGATAGGATACTAGAAAAATATTTTTCACTGTTAAAGAGGTCAGGTCAGGAACAGATTGCCCAGGGGGGTGGTGGAGTCACCATCCCTGGAGGTGTTTAGGAGGCATCTGGATCTGGCACTGGGTGATGGTTTAGTGGAATAAGTGCTACAGTGGCAGTTCTGGGTTAACAGCTGGACTTAAAAGCTTGGGTCTCTTCCGACCTCTTCCAATTCTATGATAATGAAACATGGTTGTTTCTTTTCTAGGAAATATCATCAATCTTACAGGAACTGAAACGAGTTGAGAAGCAGCTGCAAGGTACAAATCTTTATTCACTTTTCTCTTCTGTGGTTGCTTGCTTCAATTTTTAATAGACATCTATATCTGTATATATATAACATGAAACAAAGTTACTGTGATTTATTAAAATATATTCACAGTATCAGTTATGTACATTGTTATACTATAACTGCTGATACATTTGATAAACAAACTTGGCTGGTTTTTTTTTAAAGCAGAAGAGTGATCATATCTTTTTATATGGGATTGGTGGTCCATGCTTATCATCATTGCGTTAGCTGTAAATTTCCTATATTTGTTATTTTTAGTATTCAGATTTAATCTGAGATAAAATCATGTTTTTAAAAAGAATTTTTCAAGAGGAGTCATTAACCACCTTTAGAGACAAATCAGTGATAAATGTTAGTACATATTTGGAAATAAAAAAGAGAAGTTCTGTTAAATGTTACACATATGTTAATAGTAAAATAAAATGAAATGGTACTAGGTACTTCAGTTTGCCCTCACTGTGTGGATAAATGACTGCTCTTTTATACAAATTTCATGCAATCATGGAATCAGCAACTATGGCTATTTTCTGGGGGTGAGGTGGAACAAAGTATAATATAATGGTAACATTTAGGGAAAAAGCCGCTTAAATTAAAACCACCCTTCTGTCCCTATAGCCTAATTATAGATGGTTTATCATCTCTGTTTCCTGTCCACACATCAGTTCGTGTTTAGTTTGTGCAGTTTCATTTCATCTAAAGTTTTAATATCTGTAACTGCTTTTGAATACCTGTATCAGTTTACATCTGTGTTGGATATACCATTTCTTTGTCATGGGCAGCACACATAAAAACTCACATCTGTCACCATAAAAATAAAAGTGTGAGATAAGGATTTCCATATTTTTATAGTAACAGAAAATTGTATTTTTTATGGCTTCTTCCCTATCCTTCTCATCTCTTCTTGACTGCTTAGCAATTAATGCCATGATTGACCCTGACGGTACCCTGGATGCTCTGAGCAACTTGGGATTCGCCAGCCCCATCTTGCCAGCTCCGCCCAAGCCGAAGTCCAGCCCTGTCTGCCAAGGCCCCCGCCCGGCAGCACAGCCAAACTGCCAGCCCGAGGCCCGGGCTGCTCGTCCCGCCACCGGCCCTGCGGCAGCCGAATTGGAAAACGCTGAATCCGAGGCAGATTTCAGCATACATTTCAATAGGTTTAACCCAGATGGGGAAGAAGAAGATGCCACCCTGCGTGAGTGACATCTCAGTGTTTGATACAAAAACCTTTCATGTGGAATGTTTAGAAATCAAGGAAAACTTATAATGTTTGTTTTTATAATTAAAAAAAAAAGGCTTGGTCAAACAGCAGTTGTTTTATTAAACCAGTTTTCTTTAATTGTGATGCTTTGATTGTCACACAAATCCTTTTCAAATCATAAAGATATGCATAGATACCAGTGTAGGAAAGCAGATTGTGGCAGGTTTGCCCTTTGTGGTTGTGTGCTTTGCAAAAGAATTATTATATCAGCAGTTTTCCCTTAATAGATTTATTTCTTTTTAAAAGCCATGCAAGCAGTCTAACATTTACTGAAAACCCCAATCTCTTTGCCAAGCTGCTCTGATGAACAGACTTCCTCCTCTAAAGCTTGTACAGAACTGTTGAACAGTTATGTTTGATTCTGAATTAGATGATTTATATAGGAAACATTATCTTTGACTACAATGACACATTACTGCAAAAGTAAGACAGATTTCAGAAAGCATTCATTCTCATGTACTGGAAAAATCTCAAACAGTTCTGTGGTTTATGTAACCTTGTTGCTGCGTAAATTGTCTTGGGGTTTACACATAAGTTCACATATTATGTTTGCACTAAGATTTGCTGGGAGTGGTAGGTGAACATATCGATATCGTTGAACAGCAAGCAGTGTTTTGGTGTACATAGAAAACTGATAATACTGTCCTTGTATTATCATTACAGTGTTTTAATCCACTTTCTGAAAAGACTATTTGGCACTTTTTGATCTTCTTCAAAAGTCTTTTTGATCTTAATGAAAGTAGAAGTATTTCATATTTCATTTCTGTCCAAATCTTTGTTGAAACTAACTAGGAAATAAATTTGAACGTATAGCAGTGTGGGACATATTAAAGCATAATGAGGCAAATGGGCTCTCACAATCCAAATGCAATGTAAGCTTACAGAAGAAATTACTGGTTTTTTGGAATGATCATGAGATGTAAAATTTTCTTTAGGGATCTTGGAAATAGAGCTGTCATGATTTGCTTGATCGATAGATACACTCCCAAGCAAATGATTTTATTTGCTTCTGTATATTTTCCTGTAGTCTTGCTAGTAAAGCTGTCCTGTCTTACATATTTAAAAGGATTCTGGACGACGACTGCTAACATGGACATTTTGCTTATACCACTGAAAAGCAAGTCTATTTAAAGTTTCCTATATAAGCCTATTTTCCTTATCAGTTGTCCCAGTAACTTAACATTTGGAAATAATGAAAAAAATTAAAGTAAATTACTTTGTATTTCCAGAACACTGTAATTTGGAGGAATGTTTTTTCTGTTAAATGTAACTAATAGACTGGAATTTTCTTATGTTTGCATCAGTCTCTATATATTAAGGTTAAAGATACAGTTTTGCAGCTTTTATGAAATGGTCTTTAATATTTCAGCAATAATCCTATATGAGATTTGTTTTTAAAAACCTACTTTCTGTACGCTTTTGAATTGTACAGGCTTTCAGAAATCAGTAAAAGTTGGACCAGTTAATAAAGATGCAAAAACTTTTTTTGTAGAGATGTAAAAACAAAACCACTAATCTGTTGTATAATGGATTTCATATTTTCTTTAAAAAAAATTAAAAGCAAACAGTCTTCATGTATGACTCAATATGCTCTACTCCAGCTAACTGTGGGAGCCTGAATGACACTAGTTTACAGAGGCTACAGGAAAACTTTTTGAAGGTGCAGAAGGGCAAAAATAGATGGAAACTAGAGCTAAGTGTTGAAAATTGAGTGTACCAAACCATCACCATAATTCCTTCTTTTGTTTAATGCTTGGGAACATAATTTTTCTGCAGATTCAAGTGGAAAGTAGGAAATGGCTAGGAAGGATTAAAGGTGCAGGCTCTTCATACGAGATTCTGTTTGTGTTATTTCAGGCGTTTTTACCTTTATGTTGTGTAATAAGCATTTTGCATTACTATGTTATTATTTTGTATGGACATGTTCTCCTTATTTATTTTTGTTACATTTATTATGTATGTTATTTTGTTATATGCATTTACAACTCCATTTTTAAATAAAGTGTTTCTGGAACTTTACAAATGTGTGAATATGTAATTGAGAGCTGGGAAGTTCACACAATCTTTCTGCAGACTAACTTGCCTTTACTGAAATAGGAAATTACATTTTTTTCATAAATATCCTCTCTCCAGAAAAAGTTCTGTTATTGCCACCACTGCATCATTTATTCTGTGCTGACAGTATTGGCTCACTTTCCTGTACTCAGGTTCTTTTCCACACTTCAATTGATTTTGTGTGCAAAGCTAGAGGCAAAAATAATCCAGTATGCTAGTCACCAAACAGTGGCTCTCTTTCCCTTTGTAGAATGAAACTGAGTTTTAATGCATCTGCCAGCTGTAGCAGTAGATGGTTATCAGACTGTTTTTTCCCTCTGCTTCACATATTGGAAAACTTTACTGAATATGCTGATTTGGCTCCATGCTGGTGCCTTTTTTTCTTCTGTCCCAGGTTGGACTATGCCTGCTTTTCCTGCGAGACACTAAATTGCCTTTTTTTAGCTGGCTTCATGCAGGAACAAAACCTTGAATTTAGTAAAAGCTCCAAGCATTTCTTTCCAGGTAAAGCATTTTGGTGCTGCTGAGCTTTGCTGTGACTCAGCATCAGCCACTCTGATCTTGCTTCTGTCTATGTGTTTTTCCTTTATATCCCAGCCTGCTGGCATTAATACACCACTAGTGGCACACAGTAGCACTCACTAGCCCTCAGCTGTGCAGGGGCAGGAGATTTCTGCTGCTCTTCAGAGATGCCAGTTTGGTAGAGTAAAAATCATGAGAAAGTTACAAGGGCTTTTTTACTTGCACAGGACTTCTTCAAATCCCCCAGCTTCATTATCTGCTATCGTTTCCTCACTTGTTGCCAGCATCCCTCTGTCTTTGCAGAGGATAGAGGAATGCATTTCTGGGCTGTATTCTCATGTGCAGACCCTCTGATGTTTAAGCAGAAGTGTAACTCTTCCCATACAGATTTTTATAGGACTAGTCTACTTGGAGCCAAGGTTATTCAGAAGTATTTAGGAAATCCAGCCAGATGGCCTCAGTCATGTGCTCCCTTCAGACACCACCAAGTGGTGCTGACACACCAGGACACGGGGAAAGCATAACTCAAGCCTTTTCTGATCAGCACTGGTGGCTCCTCCCTTGGCTACATGTACTTCTAGAATTCTATACCCAACAGCTTCTTGTAATGACACTCACATCCAGCTGTAGCATACAGAAATAAACCTAAGGGCATAATTTGTGTGCCTGACCTGGTAACAGCAAGGTGGTGTTTCACCGCAGCATATACATTATACCAAAGCACCTGGTACTGCAATCTCAGGAGAGAACTCTGCCTCTTAGCAAAAACTGACTTCCAGTCAAAGCCTGTTGGAAGGCCTTTGTAATTTGACCTGGGAAGATTTTAAGCATAGGAAAGATCTACAATTACTGCTTTGGCATGCAGCCATGAAAAGCAAGAGTGTTCCTTCATGCAGGAATGTGTGAAGCATCGATGACATGGTAAAAGGAGGCCGCTCGCTACCTGCCAAGGAGATTTTATATCACCAAGTCTTTTGTATCTGAAGAGAATTACAAGGAAGAAACTTGGCCACTCACCATACAAGTGAGTGTAGCTTTGTCTTGGTGAATAATCAGAGTTTTTCAAGTGTAAGAATGTCACCTCTGACTTCAAATAGAGCTCGATCTGTAAATGCTGACAGGGTTACAATCCTGGTAGTTCAGCCATGATTGCCAAATATTAAATACATCCAACAATGTCTCTTGGCAATACTGTTGAAGGACAGCTGCCTAGTGCTGAAGAGCATTTCCAGCTGCACTAGCTCAGTAATATTGTAAAAACAATTTTTGTTTGCAACTTGGTAAACCTTAGCTTTAGCCAGGGCTGTTCCTGCCAGTGACAGCCAACAGAGCACTGGCTGGGGAACAAGGCATTTCCTTTTCAGATTCTTTTCTCACTAGTCACATATTTGGGGAGGAAAAATGCATTTAGCAAACAAGTGGGATAATGCATCCCTGGAAATACTTTAAAGCAGGATAAGAGAACTGGAAGCCTACTGTCAAAGATCTTTACCTCTTCCAGTGAGACCACAGTTAACAGTGAACACTAAACTCAATGCTCACCTTGTCTTGCTGACAGTTTCACGAGCAATTATTATTTTTTGAAATTGTTGTTACCTCATGTCTGGGGAGAGCTCTTAAAATAAGAGGGTCTTAGAAAATGGCTTCTCTGGGGAGTCTGTATTGAAACAGGTGTTTGTAATTATTTAATACCCTTATGGCAATATAGGGCAACATTTTCAAGTAATACTTGCCAAAATTATTCAAACACTAAGGCCTTAGGGGGTGGAGTGAGGGGATATAGAGATTTGTTCATTTCAAGGGTAGTCCCTACATTTCCACTTACCAATTAACATGTCCTTGCTAGGTTTGCTGCTCTTGTCTATCAGTTCCTTAGGACTAGCATTTTTAGACCTATTTCAAAAGATTAATAGATGTGTTGATTAGGTTTTCTGCTACTATGGAATAGCTAAATATCAAAAATCTAAAGATTTATATATATTTTTATAAATATTTTTAAATAAAAAATAACAGCTTAGAAGCAGTATTATCTTTGAACCAAACTGTGATCTTAAGAGAAAATTTTATTATTAAAATTAATTAATTAATATTTTAAACAAAAATGGGCAACATGGGATATGTAAGTTCTGTATGGAGTTGCGGACCTGTATGAAGTCAAGCAAAAAGAACAAGGGTTATTTATAAACTTACAAAAGTTACCAGGTGATTTCACATTTCATTTTTGGCATCACTTCTGGGGTAATGTGATTTATAAGTTGAGAAAAATTCATTGAGGAAAGAAACCAGATGTGGATGTGAGTTGTGGTTTGGATTATCCATGACTGATTTTGTTGAGAGATGAGGGAAATGACTGCAGATAATTCAGGAGGTTTTAAAAGTATTTAGAAATTAAATGCCTTAATAAAGTTTTTGAAGAAAATGTCATTAATGGTATTTCCCAGTATAGCAATTGATTCATAAGTGATCAGGCTGGATACGATATTCTCAGCAGATGTTACTGGATTAGGAGACTCAGTGAAGTGCAGAAAATTAAGCAAACCTTTAAAAAAAGCTTTTGAAAGAAATCAAAAGATAGAGATGAACAGAAGTGAAGGGGAGTGGGGCAGGAACACAGTGTCTCCATCCATGGCAGTAGGTATGACAGAACCAGGGGTTGGTTCAAGGCAGCTTTAGCACAAAGGAGAACTGTAAGACGCAGGAAGCACATAAAAATTTGCCTGCAAGGATGGTACTTTGAGAGCTGGTAAGAAGCTGTGCAGGAAAAGATCTTTCCTGCTCCAAGGTGTGCCTCAGGTGCAAGAGGGGCTACAGCCCCCCTGCTCCTTGGCAGGGGATGGCAGCTGGAAGTACGTGGGAGTTACTGCTTGTATCAATAATTATGTATTTTTTCACTCTGCAGAATAGCTGGAGTTTCTCAAATAAACCGAACAAATAGACAGCGCTTTCCTCCAAATTCATATCCCCCAGTGCAGTTTATGTTTTCCTGAAATCATTTTTGGTCTTCACAGACAAAATTTCAATAACTGACTAAAGATGCAGGTGTATAATATTGTAATCTCATTACCTGCACACTCAGAAACTCAAGTGCTAACAAAAAATTTGCTGCACAATCATGTTACTTTTTCTTTTGTTTTCATACATGGAAGGAATATACACAAACCAGGCTCCTCATGTGATTGCTGCTGTCAGTAGGATGGGCAGCTGAGCAGATGGTTGTTTAGAAAAATCCACTTTTTAAAATACAATTTATGCAGTATTCTGAACACCTAATAAGTTGCTTTCTTCCCATCACAAATCTGAGGTATAAGTGGGGCTTTACTAATTTCTTGAGTTGATTTCCTAAGTGTACAAGCTCCTCAAATTTAGATCCTCTTCAACACCTTTGCAGGTTTAAAAATGCTGGATTATATTGAAACTCACATCTGAGGCTTCACTGAAGTTATTACTCCGGGGACAGCAGAAGTTCAAATACAAAATTGAAAACACAGCTTAGTGGCTTATCTCAGCCCTAACATGAGCCCCAGGCACACAGACCTTTGGAGCCATGTTTCAAGCTGCATGAGCAAGGTTTGCTGTTTGGTGCCAGTAACATTTATTGCTTCTAGTTTTGAGAGTGTGTTTTTAGGCTTCCAAGCTGTTTGAGTATCTATATTCCTAACTTTGGCCAATTTAAGTATTTTATCACATAATCATAGAATAACAGAATAGCTTGGGTTGGGAGGGACCTTAAAGATCTGGTTTCGATGGGCAGGGGATCTGCTACCAGACCAGGTTGCTCAAAGCCCCATCCAACCTGACCTTGAACACTTCCAGGGGTGGGACATTTACAGTTTCTCTGTGCAACTTGTTACACTACATCCCCACCATTGCAGTAAAGATATTTTTTCCTGTTTAATCTAAAACTTCTTTCTGCAGGTTGAAGCCACTTCCCCTTGTCCTATCATTATATGTCCTTGTAAAAAGTCTCTCTCCCTCTTTCTTGCAGTCTCACTTTAGGTACTGAAAGCTGCAATTAGGTTACCCTGAAGCCTACTGTTCTCCAGGGTGAACAATCCCAATTCTCTTAGCCTTTCCTTGTAGGAGAGTAAAAAGCATTTTCAGAGTTAAAAGGGACATGAATAAAGAAATCCATCATTTCCCTTTTAATGGTGAAGTGATTTGCTTTGGAAAATACATGGATTTTATGTTACTGGAAGAAAACTGTCAATTAAATTATGCTCTTGTCCCTTAATGCTCCAGCAGTGAATTACAAGCTAAGCAGAACTGGTCTCCATGAAGTCAGTGGAAAGGTTCATGCAGTCACAGTTTTGTACTTGCTTATTTGAGTGCAAACCCAGATCACTACATTTTGGTTTTCACTTGTATGCAATTTTGTAAAATTCAGAAAAGCTGTCCCCAGCACAAGTATATTTAAATGAGTTGGTTAGCCTGACATTGTAAAAGCAA